AATATTTGTCCTTACACTCACAGATAAATGTAGTCCTCATCCAGGAAACTTCTCTTTGCAACAGAAAGAAACCATTACAAAAACTATAACTGATTAAGATGCAGAGTTGTGGAGCCAGCACCAACTGACACAGCCATCACACAACTCCTGTACCTGAAGCTCAAAAATCATTACCAATAAGGGGCCAGAAAGATTTAAGAGCCAGAGGAACAGGGAGTTTCTTTACTTGTTACACAATTATGTGTATATGTGTTTCTTAAATACGTAGATATGGCCTGCTTATTCTATATAATGTTACTTGTATACATGTTTTCAAAGCTAACCATTTGGTATTGGATAACCGATTGGTGCGCTCTTCGCTGAGGAAGATTATTTTTCTTGCTTCCAGCATTTCTTAGTTGCCTGTGGTTCTTTCTCTTTGCTGTGATATTGTGTCTCCTAGAAATATCAGAAGCTACACCCATGAAGTGTCACCAATACGACTGCCTAAACATGACCTGAACAAGGAGGACACCAATAGATTTCCTAATGTGGATGAGGACATTTCATGAGGCCTCAACCCTGTACAGGCAACTAAAATGCTGGCAGCAAGAAAAATAGTACTGAACCATCTCTCCAGCCCCCAGTATTTTTTTTTTTTTAAACTGGCTTGCTTCGTTTAACAGACCATCATCTTAAAAGTTCAGTGATAATTTCATTGAATGTTCATACCACGTTTTTGCTTGTGTATTTGTCTAGTGGTGGACAGTTAGATTGCTTCCTCCTCTTGACTATGGTAAATAATGTTGTTATGAGCATGGGTGTACAAATATTTCTTTTACCATCCTGCTTTTGGTTTTCTTGGCTATATACCCACAAGCAGAATTGCTGAATCATGTGGTAATTCTACTTAACCTTTTTTTTTTTTTTTTGTAAGGAACGGCCTTATTGTTTTCATTGTGGATACAGCATTTCACCTTCCTACAAACAGTGCAAAAGGGTTTCATTTTCTCCATAGCCTTGATAGCACTTGTCATTTTTTTGGTGTATCAATCTTTTTGGTTTCTTTTCTTGGTAATCATTCTAATGAGCTTAAGGTAGAATCTCATTGTGGCTTACCCAAAATCTTCTGCTAAGATACCAAAACACTAAATAGCCCTGGATATACCACCAACGATTTACAGCATGACAGTCCTACCAGATTTATGACATATCAGGGCACACCTTTAATCCCAGCACTTGGGAGGCAGAGGCAGGCAGATCTCTGAGTTCAAGGCCAGCCTGGTCTACAGAGTTCCAGGACAGCCAGGCATACACAGAGAAAACCTGTCTCAAAACAAACAACAAACTATATTTTAGGGGGCATAGTTGTAATACTTGTTCTCTATACTCTAATTTTAGGGCTGGTTGTGTGGCAAATGCTTCTAACCTCAGCACTTGGAAGGCAGATCAAACAAGAGGATCATTCTTGGCTACATACTAAGTTTGGCACTAGTTTAGCTACAAGAAATTCTATCTCAAAAAACTAAAGAAGGAAAAAAGAGTTTTATTGTTATGAGTTCAGGAATAGCCACACACTGACCTCTCCACTCAAACACCAGACTCAGACTGATGGAAGGTCATTAAATACTGAACAAAAGCTGACTGGTCAGGGACATAACCTGAGCTCTGGAGCCAGACTATGATGCAGGTCTGTTTCTAAGGCAGGTTTTTTGTTTGTTTGTTTTAAATACGAAAAACCATAACCAGGTAACCAGGTGTAGGAAGTGATGGGGTAGGACAGCATTACATCATTTTGACTAGCCAAACAATCAATTTTTTTTCCAAGTGTATTGTGTCTAGGTAGCTAGACAAAAGCACTTTAAACTGATTGGCTGGAATTTAGGGTAGGGGAGCTCTTGGGTCTTTCTAGTTTTCTGGGAAGGATGCTGCAGGCTTAACTCTAACAGTATACACATTTATCTTTAACTCAAGCAAAACATGTATTTATCATTTATTATTTTATTCTAAGAAGCAGGTATTGAACTATTGAATTGTATCCTGGTCTCAGGCACTTAGGGCCTAAGAACTTGAACTTAATTTCACCTTATAATCAAAACGGAGACATGGAGGCAAAATGGCTTCTGATATGCCAAAGGCGACTGCAGGTGTTAACAAAAGAGTTACAGTTATGCTAAGAACTAAAGTAGGTCTCAACAGAGGGGCTCTAGGGTTTAAACAGGTTACAACATTATAAGCTTGTTGGAAGGTGGGGACAGATGTAGTCTAAAACAATAATGCATTGGTTTAGGTGTGGTACATACCTATAATTCTAGCACTTGGAAGGCAGAAATAGGATTACCCAAGAGTTCAAGGCCATCCATCCATAGTGGGTTCTAAGCCAGCCAGAGATACACAGGCAGACATTCTCTCAAAAAAAAATTAGCAAGAAGCATTAAAATGTCTATCCAATAATATTGATAAGTATTAAATTATAACAGAAATGGGCAAAATTGTGGTAGCATGGATTTATTCGAAAAAAGCTATAAAAAGGAAATAGTGACAAAATTATTTTGAGAGGGTGGGCTTACGTTATCAAAGATGGGAGACAGTAAAATTTTTTATTTGACTTACTAGTTCGTGCATTCTTTCAGTTCCACTTACTGAATCCCTAACATACTGGGCAGTGTGTAGAAGATGGGAGTTGCCTCTCAAGAGCAAGGGAGATATGCGGGCTTTGAATAGTGACAATCTATTCACACACAGTGCAGAGTGTATAACAGGGACACTGAACCAGTCCTTCCAGAGACCGCAGATCTGTTAAGAATGTAATCACCCCCTTTACAAGGAGTCATGCAAGGAGAAGGTAAAACACGTTTCTTTTCTTGACTACATTTACACTCAGTTATTCCACAAGGAACACAACTGCAAGTTTCCCACTGTCTAAGAAATTAGGTTCTGGTCAAGATTTAAGACTTCTGGCAACTGAGTTATGCGTCCTTATATCTATCACCTCACTGGAGTTTTTCATTCACAGATATGTGCTGGAATTCGGGAAAACAAAGAAAAATGAACAATACACAGATCCTACCCACGGATCTCAGTATAGATAGCTATACTACAAGTGATAGTTGTGACACAGAAATAGAAGAAAGGATTATTACCCCCTCCTCGGAAAGAAAAGTTTACTTGGATCTCAACACACGTGGCATGGCGTGCGCTCACACCCACACACCCAATAAGTAAAGAGATATAAACATGTTTAAAAAGAATTCAAGGTGAAGGCTGGAGGACCTTGAGTTTGAGGCTAGTCTAGGATACATAGTAAAACCTGGCATCAATGAACAAAACAAAGCAAGCAAAAAGAATTCTCACCCATGTGTTTCTCCCAAGGTAACCCCACTCGTTATAGGCATAGTGGTGCACATGTTCAATTCCAGCTCTCCAGAAGCAGAGGCAGGCATGTCTCTGTGAGTTCAAGGCCAGTCTGGTCTATAGAGTGAGATCCAGGACAGCCATGGTAACACACAGAGAAACCATGTCCTTTGTTTGTTGAGACAGGATTTCTGTGTGAAGCTTTGGCTGTCCTGGATCTCACTCTGTAGACCATACTGGTCTCGAACTCACAGAGATCTGTCTGCCTCTGCCTCCTGAGTGCTGGGATTAAATGGGAGACTGAGAATCCCTGTCTTAAATAACCAAAAACCAAAGAGATAACCCCACCTAAGACTTTTTGGAAGGATCCTTACTCTCATTTTATCTTCTGTTTAGATCAACCCAAAGAAAAATTTGATTTTGGAGTTACAAGATTTTTCCATTAATATTTCAGTGACTTTCCTCTCTACACCAACATTAACTTTTAAAGGCTCCATGCAATGAAGTACTCACAGATAAATTGGGGAAAATAGGCCTAGATTTCTATGTGGGGTAGAATCGTTATGTTAGGTTTTCCATAAGTTAAACATCACTCACAAGATGTGCGGCCTTGCTTACTAAGCAAAAAGATGGACTAAGATCCATGAGATCTTTTCTTTTAATTTTAATTTATATTATTATTATCAGTAGGGGCACACACAAGTACCATAGTGTACTTGTTCTCAGAGGACAACTCTTAGGAGTCAGTTCCAGGACTGAACTCAGGTGATCATTCTGTTCAGTGTCTTAGTCACTGTTCTATTGACAGAAAAGACACCACGACCAAAGCAACTATTATAAGCAAAAGCATTTAACTGGGGGCTTGCTTAGTTTCAAAGGTTTGGTCCATTATTATCATGGTGGGGTGGGGATGAGTTCGAGGACAGCCAGAGCTATTACACAGAGAAACCCTGTCTGGAAAAACAAAACAAAGCAACCCACTAAAACTTTTTTTTTTGAGACTGGCTTTCTCTGTGTAACTTGGCTGTCCTGGAACTCACTCTGTATCCCAGGCTGGTTTTGAACTCAGAGATCTGCCTGCCTCTGCCTTTTGAGTGCTGGGATTAAAGGTGTGTACCACTCTTTTTTTTTTGTTTTTTTTTTTTTTTTCCTTTAAGACAAGATTTTATCCTATCTGATGGGCTCCATATTCTGGCTCACAACTCTGGCTGCTTTCCAAGAGGTCACTCCAGCACCAGAGACCACAGACAGGAGCTTAGCATAATGGTCATCACAGAGGCCTCACCCAGCAACTGATGGAAACATGTAGAAACTCACAGCCAGGGCTGGAGAGATGGCTCAGTGGTCAAGAGCACTGCCTGCTCTTCCAAACGACTGGGGTTCAATTCCCAGCACCCATATGGCAGCTCACAACTGTCTGTAATTCCAGTTCCAAGTGTCTGATACCCTCACACTAATGTCCATAACATAAATTTAAATAAATAATTAAAAAAAAAAAAAGAAACTCACAGCCAAACATTAGGCAGAGCTTGGGGAATCCTTCGGAAGAGTGGGAGGAAGGATTGTAGGAGTCAGAACCGGCAAGGACATCGCAAGAAAACTTACAGAATGAATTAATCTTGGCTCACAGGACCTCACAGAGACAGAATCACACGCATGAAACTGACCTAGGGCCTCTGCACATATGTTGCAGTGGTGTAGCTTGGTCTTCATGTAGGACTGGAAGCAGGGGCTGTCTCTGACTCTGTTGTCTGCCTTTGGGATCCTTAAGAGAAGATATGCCTAGTGTTACTGAATATCCATGGAAGGCCTCCCCTTTTCTGAAAAGAAATGAAGGAGTGGATGGGGGCGGTGGGGGAAGGATTAGGAGAGGAGGAAGAGGGAACTGTGTAAAGTACATAAACTAACAAACAAACAAATAAAATTTTAAAAAGACAAGAATTTATGTAATCCAAGCTGGTCATGAAATTGATATTCTTGTCTTTATCTCTTAAGTGCTAGGATGGTAAGTACCACCATTCCCAGCTCTGACAGACCACTCTGATTTCAGCAGCTCAAATGAAAAACAAACTCTGAAATAATGTATGAATACAAAAACAAACCAAAAAGAACATTTTGCCAACCACAAAAATAACTAAATACCCATCTCTTGTAATATGAGGGTCTTTTTCACCGATCATAGCTTAATCCTCACTTGGTTCTTTTTATGCAAGAAGCTTTAAAACTTAATAATCACACCCACCTTCTGATAGCATCTGCTTACTTGAACCCTCCCTTCAGTCGCCTGAGAAGTCCAAACTGAGCATTCTTTTGAAGTAATGCTTTGCTATTCCTGGTGGTTACAAGCACAATTCGTCTAACTATAAGTGTATCCTCCGGGATTTTGACTGGATGACACTGAAGACAGGGAGATCTCCCTAAGTGGCAGCTGAAATATAGATGATGCATCCAGAACTGTCTAGCAAAGACTTCGTAAACAAATAGTCATGAACCGTATAAGGAAACTTTTTTTTTTTTTCCAAAAAAGGACATAAAATCAATGGTCCGAGAAGAGTATATCGCCTAGGACATTGTAGCGTCTTTTCTTGTGTGATATGAAGTTCGTCAACAAGTTAATTACTACTCTACATATTTCTCAACATAGCCCCTTCATGAAGCGAGTTATGATTGTATTTCGAAGCTTCGTGACTGTAGCTTGCTGATTGTTTCTCCTCAGAGGACGTCTTCTTAGCTCAGTTTTCCTCTGGAGAACCTGGAAAGAAACTTCTTAAGTAAAAAGCAGGAAAGTTAAACTCGCGAAGTAAAACGCCTTAGTGAGGTGCACTCTCCAGCTTCCACTTGGAATTCTTCGAATACAAGAACACCCCAGGGGCATGTGTGAAAAATCAGTCCACGGGTTCATACTGGAGTCTCACTAACCTAACCCGGAAGGAGGCCCTCAATTCACTTTACAAGCAACACAGCACTCTCCGAAACGCTGAGGTAACCAACAGCGCAGAACCTAAACCTCCTAACAGAAGCTAAATCAGTGGCTCACCGCCTCAGAACTGCTGTGGCACAAGCTCCCGTCTTTAGAGAAACTACAGGTCCCATCATGCCCGGCGCCGGGAGTTGCCTGGTAACTCGCGCCACAGGAATCGTGGAAGGTTAGCTTTACTGTACGCCTGCGCGTTGGGGAGTTCTGCGCAGGCGCACTTCCAACGTCTGAGAGGAGGGCGGGGTGTCGTTCCCTTTCGCTGATGCAAGAGCCTAGCGCGGTGCTGTGAGAAGTATCGGTTAGGAGCTACGCTGACTCCGGCGTCTGAAGCCGACCGGCCTGACTTCTCATCCGTGCCGAACCCGCGCCAACAACAGCCATGTCTGGGGACGAGGTGAGAGCCTGAGCCCGGAGCGAGGGCTAAGGACTGAGGCAGGAAGCCGAACCCACACCAGTGTGGGAAGCCGGGCCTGAGGCCTAGCGCTCGGCGGCCGCCATGTGGAGCAGCCGGGCCTAGGCGTCCCGGAGCTGTGGAGCCGGCGAGGACTCTAGGTCCTCAGACTTGGCCTCATCCGCTCTCCTCAGGGCGTCGTCGTCGAGGCTGGCCTCCTTCGGTGATCGGCGTTTCGGAATGGAAAGCATGTTGAGTCGCCGTCTGAAAGGGTTTGATTGCCCAGTTCGTTTCCCCGATTAAGTAAAATTAGGGACGGCGGCCCCGGCAATCTCTTCTAAACCTTGCCGCCTCGGCTCTCATTTCCGGGGGCTCAGGGTTTCTTGAGAAGCCCTTGGTTCCCGTGGAGCACCGTCGTTAGAAACTTTGTAGGCTGGCTTTTCCGGGCGGATACCGCACTCCCTTTCCCAGCGCAAGGCTTCAATACGGGTGTGAGCCGTAGGAAAAGATATGTAGTCTCAAAGTGACCACCCTTCGAGGAAAGTTTCCTGCCGCGAGTCCCTGAAGTTTCCTTTAACCGGCAAGGTGATCAGGAAAGTCCGGCTGCGAACCTGTCTTTTTCCACTGGGCTTGGTTCTCAGTAAAATTTTCAAGCCCTGTCCTGTGTTTTATTGTCTCATTTTTACTTTTTGTCTTTCCAGATTTATCCTAGTTCACATGAAACTAAATGAAATAACTTAAAAAGAGATTGGGGTTATCTCAGTTAGATATTGCTTAACATTAGACCTAGAAGCCTCCAATAAAAGCTTCCTTCCTCTAAGAAAGTACCTTATGAAGAATTTGGGATTTACTTATAGGCCTTGGAGAGGGTTAAGAAGAATAGGTGGAGGCTATCACAGAGCTGGCTTTTTGAGTAGGCGTTAGAAATTAGAATTTTCTCAGCCAGTGAGAAAACTGATTAAAAGGCATTTATGGTCAAGAAAGGAAAAAGTGCTCACAGAAAGTGAAGTATTCACCAGTTTGGTTGAAGTAGATGCTGGCTGGATTCTGGAGAGCTTAGAAAATTGCATTAAGGAGTTAGAGATTGATTCCGGAGGGAACCGATTCCTAGGCTTAGTTGATTTTCACAGTTGTGTAAAATAAGGTCCTGTTAGTCCATTTTGGAGATGAGAAAACTGAAGCTTAGAGTTGTACAATGCTTATAAAATTCCAAGTGGCTGAGCTACTAGTGCAGTACTGCAAAACTGCCTCCATCTAAATGACTCGGAGGCCCTCACAGGCCTAACTACTGAGTAGTTAAGTCTGAAGGAGATAGATGGTTCTTGCTTGAAAGACATGTTAGACATTGCTCTTAGCTACTGTAATATGTATTAGAAAAGTTCTAAGAAGTGTTTGACCCTTGTTTTATTTCTACTCGTGTTTCAAACTTCATAACTTTACCTATAAACGGCTGTATTCTGTCTATTGCTTCTATGGTACAGTTCTTATGATGTAGTAAGAGGTAATAGATAACACCTACAGAAACGGGGTTGTTGAGAGATATATTTATTTTTTGGTAATAAGATCTTTTGAAAGGTGTGGGGTGAGGATGAACAGGATTTTATCAAGTAGAAATGGTGGAACCAGCATTCATACCAGCAGCAGTCTCTTGAAAGCCTCAAGCGTGTAGGTTGCCTGTTAGACCCGTCAGTACAACTTCATTTTATAAATGGAAAATTAGGGACCAGGGAGGTTAGGCCATGTGATAAGTTCAGTGGGATTTAACCCTAGTTTTTGGCTTTACTCTCAGGTGGCATTTACTGGTAGAGGGAGATATGAAAATGGGTTGTGATCTTGGTCTACCTCGTGCTGTTGACTAGGGAATTGTTACCAGGTATACTTATGACTTCTAACCTATAAGGATTAACTAAAAACCTATACTTGGAAGTGACTTGTAAACCTCCAAGGACATTCCAGAGTGTGTTATTCTGACTGGTAGGCATGATAGAGAAGTAAGGGCTATTTTAAAAAATTGTTGAAGCTGGGCACAGTGGCGCAAGCCTAGGGAGCAGGAGCAGGGGCAGGTAGATATCTGAGTTCAAGGCCGGTCTGGTTTACAGAGTTAGTTCCAGGACAGTCAGAGCTACACAGAGAAACCCTGTCTCGAGGAAAAAAAAAAAAAAAAAAAAAGCAATTGTTCTTTAAATGATTGGTTGACATAAAGTGTACACATTCTTTTTTTAAACCAGGTAATTAAGCCACAAACACACTAAAACAGACTCATTTTAACCTAATAAATAAAGCTATTAACTTTAAAAAGTGTCAATGGAATGTAGATGCTCATTAGTAAGGAAGGAAAGATTCCCTAATGTGCAAGCATTCAGAAATATTTAGACCATTTTAAGGTTTTATTGTTTTGAGAAGTGTTACTGTGTACCCGGGCTGGTCCAAATTTGTCATCAAGTTAGGGCCTCCCCCCCCCCCCCCAACTCTCCACCCCCTGGCCTAATAAGCATGTTAGTATCTAAGACTTTCTTACTCTCAAGTTCCATCCACAAGATGTTAGAATGATAGGGTTTTGCACAGATCCAGTAAGGTATTTTTGCAAGAGAAAGTTAAAAAGCTTAAAAAAAAAAAAATTTTGATTGTAGCCAGATCACATCTTTAATCCCAGAAATCCAGCTTACACTGAGACAGGTGGATGGATATCTAGGAGTTTGAGGCTAAGCAGGACAGTGTAGTGAGACCCCCCTTAACAAACACACAATTAAAAGAAGTCTGGGGGTGGCTTATTCTCAGAGTGCTAAGCAAAAGGCCTTAGTCCCCAGTAGCACCAAAACCAAATTGGAAAAAACAAAACAAAACTTAAATGGTCTTAATGGTTCCTTGTAGGTATAGTCTCAAAACATTTGGAATGCAGTCAGCTGTTAAATTGAAAGTCAGATGTGAAAACTTTTTTGGGGAGACAGGATTTCTCTGTATAGCATTGGCTCTCGTGGAACTCACTCTGTAGACTAGGCTGGACTCGAACTCAAAGACTTAGCTGTCTTTGTCTCCCAAGTGCTGGGACTAAAGGCATTCACCACCACCACCCAACTTGATAAGAATTTTGTTTGTTTATTCAGACAGAGTTTCTCTGTGTAGCCCTGGCTTTCCTGGACATCTTTGTAGACCAGGCTGGCCTTGAGCTCACTGCCTCTGCCTCCCCAAGTGCTGGGATTACAGGTTTAATGTGAAACTTTTAAAGCCAAGTTTTCAGTATCCCAAGCTGCTGAGTATGGTCTTGTGATTTGGGAGTTCTGCTTTGGGTGCTGACTTAGGCTCTCTTATTTCCTTATGCAAGTAACTGTTGTGAACAAAACTAAGTATTAATATATTAAGTGTTACGTATTCTGGGAAAGTAGTTGCAGTATGTGTTATTTTGGCATGAGATTTTTGCCTGTTTACTACTAGCCTTTACTAGGCTACAGTCTACCTATTATAGACCTAAATAAGACTTTTCTTCAGGGATGAAAAGGTAATTTGAAGCTTATCATCTGCTCATTTTAGGATCTTTCCCATATTTGATCTGTCTTGATAAGTAGTAATTGTGAAAAGGCAATTGATAGTGTGTGCCTATAATCCCAGCACTTGGGTTGGGAGCAGCCTTTTTGACAGAAGACTGTCTCAAACCACAAAAACAAAAGAAAAACCTACTAGTAGATCAGGGAAACTTAGGCTTGAAAAAAATGAGTGGATTGTAAGTGCTGCAGAATCAAAGTTACAGTACTTCTGCCCTTGTACTAAGGCTTCCTACTTCAAGAACACAGATAAGCTGTGTTTTTGAACTCTTATGACAAATGGCAGCATTCCTTCCATGTAGGGTGACCTCAGGCCCTGTGGTAAGTCACCATTGGACTTGTTTTTTGTAGTGGTGCTTTATGAAAATTTACAGAATGCCTTGCAGATTTGACAGTCACCCTTTATTACAGACTATTGCTTGGTTTCAGTGTTGCTTAGTTTCCCTACTGTACTTGGGATGGACATTAAAGAATTATAGTTATTAAAATTGATTTGGGGATTTTTAAAAAACATTTTATGTTATATTTGGAAAGTCAAATTATCCTTAGTTGAGGAAGTTTCAGTGAAAGAATCAGTGTTAGTTATAACTGCAATCAGATAGTTGATTATCCCAGTAATTTTGTTATGGTTTCATTTATCTCCATTGTACAGATGAAACACAGGATAACCCACATATGAGTTAGAGTCAGGATTGGACTTAAGGTAATTAGACTCCTGACGTGTGCTTTTGATCACTACACAATGAACAAAATGCTAAGCTAAGGTTAAATATGGTAGGAAAAAAATACTTTGGACTTGAATTCTAATTCTGTTTGATTAAAAGACTGCTTTCTTCACTAGCAGGAATATGCCCTTATATGTTCAGATTATTTCAAGGATTCAGTGCAGTCTACAGGTTAGAAATTAATTTTTCACTTGTTCTGCAGTGCAAATTTAAATGAAAATGGCCTGTGAACATTTTACATTCTATAACAACCAAAAAAAAATAGTAAAAGATTCCTTAGAAATCTTTCTTACAGTAAGGGTTGCTGCTAGGTTTCCTTAAAAGATAAGAATGATGTGAACTTCAGCATAAAATTTAAGGTTTTTAGGATTTTTTGTTTACCTTTGATAGTTTCATACGTTATCATGATTGTATTTTCCCTGCAACTTCTCAAACACTCAACAGATAAAAATTTAAAAA